CTATTCTTTTTAGATCAACTTGCATCGTTCATCGTTCTCTTTTTTTTTCTCCGATAGGAAAATATATTATATATATCAAATTCAATTAAAGAGAACAGATCTCATCATTCCTCTTTTCTTTTTCTTTTTTTTTTTTATTTCTTCTTGTCTAACCTCGAGTGATCGAATGAGTAGTCGTTGGTACCGAGAGAACTCATCTTCAAATGGACAACGAAGTCTTCGGTTCGTCGAACCCGTTGCATCTCGCGAGGCAAGCACGTGATGTTTGCAATGAAATCTTCTGATTTTAGACATAATTAAGATTTTATTTATCAATAATATACTTGAAATTCATTCATCGTTCGACACGCATAGCGTATCGAGTAATCGATGCTATTGTGGTAATTGTAAAATTATATTAATTCTCAATGTAAATTCAATGGAATCTGTCGGGATTCCACCCAAGGAACACCACAACAAGTCAAGAGAAAGTCAAAATGACTTTATTTTGACGTCATGAAAATCGAAATGATGATTTTTTTGTTACAAAATTTTACGTTAAGAATCGAAATAAAGTCATTTTGATTGTTTGTTAATTTTCTGTGTTCCTTGAACACCTTACTGATAATTGAGTAATAATAATCTCGATAATTTTTTGCACAAACGCTGAAATTGCTTAAAACGCATGGATCGTATAAGATTTATTCGCGTTGCTTGCATTTTTTGCACTTTCTCTTTTTTTCTACGTCCGAGTATATATTCATCTCGTTTTGAGTATAAAAATTTTTTCAGATTTCAAGCAACGCGAACAAGCCTAATAATCGTGCGAAATCAGCTTTTAGAAATTAGCTTTCCATCCCCCATCGACATCATTACACGGAGACTCGCTTACAGAGTTCTCTTCCCGACAGGAACATCGCGTATGGTGGGTCTTTTCAATAACTTATGTAATGATTTTGCAACCGAAAGTATCAAAGCGGAATCCTTTTTTTTTTTTTTACCGCGTCGATCGAGACGCTTATACGACTTTCGGTATCTAAGATCTCGGATTGCGGCGCAACGTGTCATCGAGCTCGCGCATTGTAAACAGATGATCTTGACAGCTTCTTTGCGCGTATGCGTCGCACGTGCGTTGCTGCGTATTTCTCGCAATTCTCCGATTAACCGTGTCCGCAAGTGCGAATGCATATATTTTCTTTGTCTGCACGCCGGTGCGCTACGCCGGTGTGAACGCCGCCTGGCTCAGGTGCGCGTGCACAAAGGGGCATCTTCGATGATGCATCTCGCGGCTGGCATCTCGCAGCGGAAACGGCGGCGCGGCTTCTCTGCGGTATCGCGAAACACGAGTGTACTCTGAATTTCTGAGACGCGGCTTGCAAAGAAAAAAAGGACCTAATAATACGAAATATGAATGAAATACTTCCAATCAATTATTCGATTGATATAACTGGAAATAATTTTATTTTTCTATATATATATAAATATATATGTAATAAGTATTATCAAACATAATAATACAATCAATTGATTGTTAATCATTACTATACTGGAAAAAAATCTAAGTTTTAATAAATATTTGTTCGAGTATAGTTTTAAGTAAATATTTATCAAATGTAAACAGTATTTATTTGATAAAAACCATTAATTTGATTTTTTTCATCGAGTAAACGTTTGTTTACTATAATTGAATGTTTACTTATTGCTAATACTATTTAAAAAGATATGTATTAAGATTTAGTAATCTTTTTTCACAGTGTAAATATTTAGAAAAGTAAAATGATTTTTAGTTATATTAATCAAACATTTAATTGAAATTATTTCACTTGACATTTGATAACTATTAATAACTCTTTTCAGTGCGTTACTCTCAGCTTGCGTGCTTGAAAAGAATTTCCCCTGAAAAAAAGAAAGGTTTGCCAAGGATATTCGTTGTTGTACGGATAAAGTGTCGAGGGATATATGTATTTTAATGAAGCGAGAAATAATTTTATGTTTGAGATATTATCGCGTAATTCTTATTCAAATGATAACTCTTGTCCGACGATCGCGCGCGTTTAGTTTTTCACGTTCAAAAGTACATCCTATATAAGTAGAGGAAAGGTCCCTATTATGAGATATCGAGTTCATTTTGAGTAAATACTGGAAGTCTATAGGCAGAATTTAAAAAATAATAGGCCATTTTGAAGAGACTTTAAGAAGTTTTAAGATAACGTTACATAAAATTTAATTCAAATTCCATTTTTTTTTTAAATTAAAGAAATGTAAAAAGTGAGCAAATCGCAAAGTCAAAAAAGTGTGCTCCTAATATGAGATGCCCCGAGAAATCGATAGTAAAAGGCAAAGTATATCAGTATTGCAATTACAAAACTTTATCTAATGTTTCTAAAATACAAACAAACACAGCCAGCATGCGCGAAAAATGAGCATGCGATAGATTAAACCCAGAACTCGTTTTCAGGTAGTTGGAATCAAGCATCGCAGATATAAGCACTCGACGTTCATTCCGGTTGTCTTTTTTATTATTATACAATAATATTTATACTTTAGCAACGATTTTCACTATAACATAGGAGCATGGGTTATTTCATATTAGAAATACTCCGGGTATCTCATATTACGATTTCCACGTCTTATGGTTTTCAAATCTAACTTCTATAATTGAACAATTCAACATATCCCGTATTTTTTTATTAGTACAACCTTACTCTATCACTACATGAAGAATTTATTGTCAAATATTTATTTATTAAATAATAAAAATAATATAAAATAATAAACAAGATTTAAATGCTCATCTCAATGAATACTCGAAGACATTTAAATTCTAAAATCTTGTTTTACTGTAATCACTACAGGCATGATCTAATAATGAATTTTCTACTAATTAATTTTCAATCCAAGAGCAATAAATTTATGGTGGAACCAATAGATAGCGTTTACTATTTAGTTTAGCAAAAACGTCGATATCTCATATTAGGCGCCTTTCCTCTATTATCATTAATTATCTATATAGAACAGATCCTTTTTTAAAATGAAAGGAAATGTGCTTTGTTGTGAATGTAGGTAAATACTTTTTAAAGAATTCACGAAATTTCCGATTCCGGTATTGGCTAACACCACCATATCAAATCGCGTAAATTGGATCGTTATATCGTGAATTACACGTCTACGGTAAACATACCCGCGGTGTTCCGTGAATGAAACAGCAACCATGCGCTTACGATAGGAAATCAGCGCTTACAAGTTATCGTGTACCTTTTAAGTGCATCGAAAATGACTGTATACTGCGCAGTCACGAACGCGATTTAGTAACACGCATGTATCATACGCTCATTGCGCCGGCTTACTTATTTTCATTGCCGACTTAGAATTGCTCCCGGTAAAAAATAAAATTAGTGATTTCAAAGAAGTATCTCTCGCGATGCTTAAAGAGAAAACGCTAGCTTAAACGTAGCCTAATTGTCGATTCAAATTCTCCACTTTTCCAGAACAAAGAGGAGAGGGTACAGGACATTCTGTTAATTAAAATTAAGAATTTTTTTTAAGTGATAATTCGTTTCGCCTAAGAGCAGAACTAAAGGGAAGGACAAAATCAAACCTCAGCTAATTTGTTTTACTTATTCTTACGGGAATCGCTTCTTGATAGTGAAAAGCGAATTTCGAAAAAGATTTTTTTACAATCTGTAACGCTGCGAAAGATTATGCAGAATGTGAAAGATTATTCTCGCGTCTAATTCTGCTACCCAGTATTTGTGATTTCGAAGTACGAA